CTCAGTCGTCGCTGCCGGAATCAAGACTTTGAACAGTCGCCGTCCTTACTGTCGCCACCATCGCCGGAGTAATTATCGCCGAGCCGCGCCGGACCTAGGGTCGAAACCCTAGGTCGGCTTTCCTTGTCCCGTTTCTGCTCTCGCTCCCGATCTGTTCTCTCCCTCTATCCGTCTCTTCTCTTGCGTCGTGCGTTTATAGGGCTGCGAATTCAGATTTCCCTCTCAATCTAGGACTCAAGTTTGAATTGGAGTCTTCTTGCACTGCTGTTTCCGATCTGCTCTCCCTCTCGCCCCTCTTCCGTCTTTTCTGGGTTAATTGGATGAATGGGTCTAGTCCTAATTTGGGCTTGGCCCAACTTCTTTATTCTTCGGTTGTAGTGCCCAACTTTGACATCTTCTTCAACTCTTTGGATTCTAAAATATATCTAAAATTATTTGTCAATGAAAATAATATTTACAAAATAATTGACAAATATAAATATGCTCAAAATCATGCATTTTATGTATAAAATATAAATAATAGCCTAAAATGCTAAATAGAACAAAATGTGATTATTTAGGTATAAAATGCACATAAATCATATTAAAAATGCTAAGAAGTGAGAGATTAAAATATGATATTTTGTGACTTAACAGTCAACACATGGTGGCGGAGAGCTTACGGTATTGAGCAAGATAAGGTCATGAAAATTTTCAAGGTGGTAGTGATCTTGGTGGTTGGACCACGGTGGAGCCACAATAAAGATTTTTTCTTCTTCTTTGAGGTTGGCAGCGGTGATCTCGGTGGAGCAGCCAAGATGGTGCCAAGGATATTTTTTTTGGAGTAGCGGTGATCTCACCGGAGAAGTGAGGTGGAGCTACAAAGTTTTTGATTATTTAATCAAGGTGGAGTTTGTTGGGAAATATTGATTAAATATTCAAAAAGAAAAAAAAAGAAGAAGAAAGAGAACTCAAAATAAGGAAGAGGACAAAGGAGATAAAAAAGAAGATATGGATGGTGTAGTGAATGCATCCATCATACATGCATGTGAGAGGTTGTATACATGTGATGTAAAGGGCCCATTTACCGTCTTCCTCTTAGATGGGAATCACGTACTACGCATGTATATAACTTGGGTTTTTTAGAATAGTGTGTGTGTGTGGGTTTTACACACCACCAAGGTAGAGAGAGAAAATGGGAGGAATTTTACCCAAGAATACCACCGGGAAAATCCAAGGGGTCTTGGTGAGTGTGGGTGAGTGTAGGGAGTAACTGGTTTTAGTTACTCGGAAAAATACATCCGGGCATAGGATGTGGAAAGATCTGTTTATGAGTGTCTGAAATTTAGTCTTGTATACAGGGGAGAGTTTTTTGTATAGTGAAATTTACCCAAGAGAGCACCAAAACATAGGTGTTTTACCTAAATGACACCACTACTAATTTTTCCTCTCTCTAGCACTAAATTTCATCCCTAATACCGTGCATACCCTTCCGTCTCCAAAGCCCACTAAAACTCATTCCTTTTAATTTTTACTTATTTTTGGAAAACAAATCATTAATTATCCCTAATTTTCAGGAATAAACTGATTGCCCTCTTGATTCCCTGCGATAAAACTCCTTCCGGTTCCTGATCGTGCGCCACTCTACATGCGCCTCAATCGCCACATCCACGACCGGCTCTGGCAAAATTAATCTCGCCACATTCTCTCCTGCCGGATCGATTACCCATCTCATTATCATGTTTTCTTCGTTGCTGAATTCGGTATCCATGCCGACGCATCCAGCGCCATCCGTGTTTCGTGTATTGTTGTGCCTAGATGGTGAATGGACGAGTGATGGCTCATTCAGGTCTAAAAGTTTTCATGAACTCATCATCTCATTCGAGAGTTCCTTTCAAATGCTTATTGACGTTGTTCGTTCGCTACTTGGCCAAGTTAATGAGCATACTACTTTAAAGATTTCATACAAGTGCAATTCGTCCCCCCACCCGGTTTTGATTGATGATGACAAAAGCTTAGATTCATACCTCACCATGAAATCGCAGGATTTGGATTTGAATTCAATGCCTATGTGTATTGAGCTTTTTCACAATTACCATACGCATGTAGGTACGTGCTCTTCTCTTCCAAATGACCAATCGTTGTGTATGACTCCATCAAGTTTCAATTCATTATCTGACCAGAGCAATGACGTTGCAAGCGTAGAACGTTCTTTGTCATCGTCACATCAGTCCACTAATTACCTAATGGATTCCCCTTTGATTAACTGCCCTTCAAGTTACCACAGGGACAATGGTGGATACACAATGGACATTGTAGTACGTGAACCAAATTTGGATAACGATGACAATTCTACGGTTGACTTGTCTGCAAATGATATTTGCACCAACCTTGATTTCCAAGTTGTAACTTGCTTTGATCCAACTAAAATTGAGTTGGATGCGATTTTTGAGAACAAGGGCGATTTAATATACCATCTCAAAATGTTGGCAATCTCTAACCTGTTCCAGTTCCATACTAAGAGGTCGACCAAGAAGCTCCTCCACGTCGTTTGTGTGGAAAACAGGTGCTGTTCTTGGGCTGTTAGGGCAGTTCGATTACCACGCACGGATATGTTCCAAATCCGTAGGTACGTCTTAGTCTTAAAGCATTCTACATGTCCATATTTCACACACCTTATGCGACATTCTGTTGGTTTTCTTCCGTTTTCAGATGCATCCACGAAATTGATTTGTTTTATGTTTTTTTCTCAACAATTATATCATTAAGTATATGTTGCAATACACGCTGCAATACACAACACTCTAATACAGACACTGTCTCAAAATTAACCTGGACACACTGTCGCAAAATTAAATGTACACACTGTCTCAAAGTTATATGGACTCACTGTCTTTATAATTTAATGTGCTAAAAAAATTGAACTTAATCGCACTTACTGCCCACATTATAATCTCTATAACTTGTTATTACACTATAATGCCCATATGTATGTTACTTTAGGCTACTGTCCAAAACCTTCTTCAATTCGAGTATGCCAAGCACACTGTCTACACCAGGTTATCACACACACTGTCCATGTTCTCCATGGGGTCTGTAAATATCATGCACTTTTAAATGGAGTACACAGTGTCCTCCACTTCTCAAGGTAAAAATCAACCTACACTTAATGTTATGCTGTCTTGTCTCAGGTACGATCATGAACATCAATGCCCAATCGATGCACGCCAGGGTAGAACACGTCAAGCTACATATGATATCATTGCTGATTTAGTCAAATATAAGTACAGTGATGCTACCAACAAACCATACCCGCCTAAGGCCATTATAACGGACATGTGTAGGGATCACGGCATTTCCATGTCATACAAGAAAGCATGGTCTGCTAAGAAGAAAGCAATGCAGCTTGCATTCGGTAGTGATGCAGAGTCGTACGCCATGCTGCCAGCCATGTGTTACATCCTCGATCGGGCAAATCCAGGTTCGTTGATAGACATCACAAGGTCTCCTGAAGGTGTTTTCCAAAATATGTTTTTTTCTCTGTCGGCTTGGAGGATGGGTTGGGCTCACTGCCTCCCACTTTTGGTTATCGATGGTACATTCATGAAATCATATTATAAGGGCACCCTCTTAACTGCTGTTGCTCACGATGGCAACAAACAAATATTTCCTTTGGCATTTGGAATTTGTGATGCTGAGAATGACTCAAATTGGGATTGGTTTTTCTTAAAACTCAAGGAAGCCCTCAGTATTCGACCAGTGCAATACATTTTATCTGACCGTCATGGTGGGATCATCAAGGCTGCTAAGGCACATTTCCCTCGTGTTCCTCATGGTCATTGTGTTAATCACATTTTGGGGAATATTAAATCACAATTCAATGGTTCTGAGAAAGCACTGAGATGGAAATTTTTTGCTGCTGCACGCGCACCCACAAAGTCCTACTGTGATCGGTACCTGACCCTACTAGACGATGAGGATCCGAGGATTAGACCATATTTATATTCCATCGGCATGGAGAAGTGGGCCAGATCATGTTTCAATGTGAACCGCTATTCCATAATGACGTCGAACAATGCGGAGTCAATGAATAGTGTTAACGCGACCCCCCGGGAATACCCCATCGCTCAGCTTGTTGATTTCATTGTTGGACGAATGCAAAAATGGTTTCACGATCGTAGGGAACTTGCTCATTCAACATCTACTATTTTGACCAAACAATGTGAATCTGATCTCCTTGCTCTACATGTGGCATCTGCGGTTATGACGGTACACTTTCACATTCATATTCATTTAATCACATCATTTTGCTATTCCCGTACCATCATTTTCTTACCGTTTTTTTGTTTAGGTTCGGCCGTCATGCTCATATGAGTACTTGGTTGTTGGTAAAAAAGGAAGGTCTTATGTTGTCAATTTCCGTGAGATGAACTGCACGTGTGGAGAGTTTCAACTAGATCACTTTGTTTGTGTTCACGCAGTTGCCGCAATACGCAATAGGCCAGGCTTATCATGTTATGACTACATATCCCCATTCTACACAATTGTGGAGTGGAAACTTGCGTATAATGGAGTCATACACCCAATTCCTACTAGAGACTCATGGATAGTCCCTGATGAAGTCGCCACTATCCCATGTTTTCCGCCTTCATGCACTAAACGTCCACCAGGAAGGCCAAAAAAGAGACGGATTCCATCTAATGGAGAGAGGAGGAGGCAGACTTGTTCACGTTGCACAATGTCCGGACATAACAAAAAAACATGTACTAATCCACTTCCAGTACGTCGTTCGTGAGCAAAATCAATCTTGCACCACAGAGTTATAGGTTCCTTAACAGAAGAAATGCATTTCACTTTTAAACGGTTTTTAATTAGCTGCTTTTGAACGCCATGTTTAGTGTCATTCTCTATTTTGCTAGACCACAGGAACAAACTTTTATTAGTAGTACTGCCCTCTTCTTAATTTGTTTTATAATAAAACCTCATTACATATTTGGTCCTTTTAATGTTTTCTAGTGCGAATTACTATGTATAGTTTTAAAAATAAATCACTGTTCTAATAGACGTTTGTAAACAAAAATCAATACAAATTTTTTAAACCACATATAACACTGTCCCACAACTTTCTCATGTACCACTGCCCACAACTTAATCATATGTTACTGCCCCCAGATTATCCAAAATATGTTTTTTGACACTTTGGAAATAATTACCACTGACAATGTATGCAATACACTGCACTGATCTCCTCTGGTCATACAACCCATTTCATAATATACTGACCATTAACAAAACACATAGACCAACCAGCATGGATATAGCGCGTTGTAATGACCATTACAGAACACTATACTGACCATTAAAAAAACATCATTTCACACTACACCGACCCTTAAAAACACCTCATTCCTAGCCAGTGCACAAGTATAAGTCAGCTTGTAATTGTTCCACCATTCTAATATTCACTATGCTTCTTCTAAAATAACGACGCTTCTACTAACAAAATGAACATTTGATATCCAAAACTCAACCGGTTAACATTTTCAATACTACCTGAAAAAACTACAAGTATTCCAAATTTAAAAAAAGGACATAGAAAAGAAAAAAAGATAACATTCTGTTTTTTAGCGGGTATCAAAGATCTAAGTCTCCATGACGGTTGCAACCATGCATTCACTTAGGTAACCCTGCTATGCCCAGCATTTAGAGTCCTTGAAAGGAAGCATACATTAATAGGTCCGCAGTAATTTTCTTCCGATATGTATTTATCTGTCCTGGCTCGATTTCAATCACTCCTCTCCCCATCATCAGCAGCTCTGCCATTTTCGTCACAAAAATTCCGGAGCTTGGTCTGTTATAAAAAAAGTAAAATGCACTTATAAATTCATCTATCCTTCAAATAGTTTTTAAGTAAACTTTGCTACTTAACGGACAACAGTAACACCCAAAAAAAACAATATCAAGGTATAAAAGTTTTACCCGTCCTTTTTTTGCGGACACTCCAAGATAGGTTCAACTGGAAACGCAGTGTGAGATTCTTTGCTATCCGTACTGTCCTTATATACCGCCAACTTACCCATTAAAACTGGCAGAAAGATCTGCAAAGACGGCAAAAATGGGTGCAATTTCTTCAAGAAACCCCCTCTGTAAACATTCGTGTCGTAAACCCGGATGAGTTTTCCACGTATGTCAACCACAAGCAGTACCCATTCGGATCCTGTGTTCAGTGGCATGTACACAAAATCCGCCTCGGACCACGCACGCCCATACTCCATATTATTTCCTTTGATGGTGTTCAATATGTCTGTATTCTGTGCTGCATCAAAATCTGTAATCTCTCTTTTCAAAACACGCTCATATAACACACACAATAACTCAACAAATGCTGGGCTTGTAGTTGCAAACTTCTGCTCCAGACCAAAATCGGTGGCTTTCTTCCGCAGAAAATAAAATGCCACACTCATATGCTGCCATCAGTAAAAAGAATTTTACTACAAATCATTAAATACCATAAACTCAAGGTACCATACAAGGTTAGAGAAAGAAAACATAAGCAAACAAGAAC